AAGACATACCCACTCTTCTATTCAGATTTAGCAGACATATTCTTGCCTTTGTAGCCTGAAAACAAAATGGCCATGCATTTTGCATGCAGATAACTGAGAATACAGACAGCATATGTAACCATTCTTGAGATACTCCCCCCAGGAAAGCATGGGAGCTGCAGAAAAGCAGGAAGTAGGCTATTGCTGCTTCTGATAAATTACAGAAAGTAGGCCTCTATTGCTACATTATAGTTCCATGAGCCAGACACAGTACCAACAATAAAATGAATCCTACGAGTGTTTGCTTAGTTGTTAAAACATATCTTATGCTAGCTATACCATTTCACTGAACTCAGGATGAGAAACTATCCATTTACAGCCCAATCCTTACAGGAACACAGCCATAGGTTCTCAAAGTTTGGAAATGTTCCCTTCAATCAGCATGTTAATATACTTACAGCAACCAAGAGGTCTCATTTCAGCATTTTGCGTGTAGACCTGAGAAATGTCTGCAATCCTTTTACACAGCATATCCACTGGAATGTCATACCCGTACTTATATTTCCAATTTGCAGCCTCGTAACGGGCTCTTTGCACCTGGGACCTGCTGTCAGCTGTCAGTAAACAAAAACTGAAATCATTCTCAAGAAAAAAGCCACTTTAATCTAAATACAAAAGCTGATTTATTTTATGTAAAAAGAATAATATAGCCAAACCCTTCCCTGGGGATGAATTAATATTAACCCCACCTTTTCTCTTCCCAAGGCACTTTGGACCGTATGCACAGGGCTATTAGCAAATTTCCCAGTCAGGAACTACAGAGGTGGAAGTACATCCAATACCTCTGGGTCATATTCTTGGCCATGAAACAGTAAGATTAATTGTATATGAAACAAAAATGAAGTCTGAGACAGCAGCATTAGATCAATGTTATAGCCATCCAGCCATTTGCTATAGAAGTAATGTTTATACCTGTCATTCCTGTCATTACACATCCAATATTTTCAGTTATTCTGAATAAGTGAGTCACTGTGCTAGAATCCAGTAGCTTGTCCTAATGAATAAGACAAAAATAATTGTAAACACTATATTACTACTTCATTAGAAATATTTAAATCGTATCTTTTAAACAGCCAACACTGCCTTCTAATAACACTGCAACATGTAATTATTAGTATAGAAGTAAGATGGTACTGTGCAAATTATCTGAAATCAACAACTTTTCAAATAACCATGTCTGAACAGCCTGAGGCTTGTACGCTTTCCCCACGTCAGCATGGTTTCAAGTTGGTATCTTTCAAATAATGCATACTTATCATTCAAAACAGTTTAGACAACAGAACAAGCAGTGGGTAAGCAAGAATAGAAGCAAAAGCTTTTTATGATTTCCTTGTTGTTGCACTAGAGAAGGACAGCACATGCTGTGGCTTGTCCTCATCACACCAAGCTATAGTTTCAAGTGACATTAGCACTGGATCACAGTCTTGGAAGAAACTTATTCTGCTTTAATTCAGTATGCATTCACCAGTGATCCCATGCACACTTTTAAGGGACAAGAATGAAAGAGCAGCTAAATCTTTAAATTTGGGGACATTAACTCACCATGCAGTTTTATCAGAACAATTATAACTATCCTTTTTCCGTTGGTACATCTGCAAAAGCAGCAGTACTGTACAAAATGACTAGATTTACCTACTCAAATGTATTGCCCTAGAATTTCCAAGGTTGGTTCTTAACGTGTCAATCTGAAGAACTCCAGTACATTTCAAGATCAAAGAGTAGTGCAGTTATAAGATACAAGATAGACACAAGATACAAGATCAACAAAGATACAATATAGTGTAGCTTATTATCAGGAAAAAAAAATCAAGTGGGACACTGCAGATTTTGCCAAGATATTACTTACTGGTACTTTCTTCTGTGTAACAACAACTGCACAGTCCTTTCCACGAACAGCTACTGAAGTAAGGCCCCCTTGGTTTATGGCCTTAAATGCATATTCTAATAGTACAATAAATATAGTCAGTTACTTGGCAACAATAGCATATATATATTCCTAGACACTCACTGATAGTAAATTAATTATGTTTGCAATGACAGTTTACATAAACAGCATTTTACACAACTTGAAATCAATGCAATCATGTGATAGGCTTTCATAATTCCATGTAAATAACATCTGAGATAGTCTGATAATTACAATTTAAATTTTTCCAATTCCATGCTTACAGGATGTATTTTGGGCACTGAAATTATTTTTATTTTCTTAAAGAAAATTCTTCTTCCCTTGGATCACATGGATCCATTATTGTGGCTCTGTTATCATCCACATTTCTATTCACAACATGGACATCTGACCTTTAGGAACATCCTGGAAATAAAGTTCATTCCTAAAACCTCTAATTAAAAAGGAAAAGGGAATCCCCAGCAAATGCCACAGGCAAAATGAACATCTTCTACATCTTACTCTAAAGCTTCTCTATCTAGGAAGAAGGTATATGCAAAACCTTGTCATTCTCAAGGAAATTGCTACGAAACTTAGTAAAATGTTAAGCACTAAAAAATTCATTGGGTAGCACTGTCATGTAAAAGGTTTCTTCTTCATCACAACAGCAGCAGTGGTATGTTCGAGATGTCACTATACATATTTAAGCTGAATATCTGCTAAGAAGTGGGCAACTTGTAGCCTTTCACATGTGGCCTACAACTCTTATTAGCCCTCACAACTGTTATGCTAACTATGGCTGATGGGAATTGTAATCCAATACATGTGGATGGTGAGAAGTTGCCACTCCATCTCAGCTGACCAAAAGCTTTTATTTCTGAGTTCTTAGTTGTTCTAAAGCAGTCTGGTACTTATTATGATCTCAGCCTAGTTTTATAAAAGTTTACCAAAGCAGCATCATACAACATTTTGTAAGCAATTACCCCTGCAGGTCAATGTGACCTGCACTGTACAGAGCAAATAAGGTTTAAGATACTGAACATGCAACGTTTGTACACGAGAAGAAATCCCAGTAGGTCCAATTTAGTTATGAAAAAGTTTATTAAAAAAAACATTAAGGATGTTAGCCCTTCCCATCTACTTATGTCAGAGAACATCCTGGCTTGCACTGGGGCTCATCTGTTTCAGTTTCACTTTTAACGAAGACATTTTTGTTGAGTAATGCTGCCTATACTTTCACAGCAAAATACCTAGTGCAACCTATCCGATACGAAGAAACATACTGAAGGATCGAAGCTGTTGTAATACTGAAAGGTTCTCTCCTCTCCCTAAAAATGATTAAAGTAAAAGGGAAAGCGCGGCTCCTTTACACCTAACTTTAGAAAAGAAAGCATAGGAGGCTCCTCCTTATTTCAGTGCATTTTTCATCTCGCCAACCCCAACTCCATGGTGAGGAGGGAAGGAGGGGCCGTGGGCCATGACAGGGCCGTTCTTGCCAGACACTCACCTACTTGGTAGAGGCGTCCTTCCGGGGAGAAGATAGTGATATGCCGGTCGAATCCGGCGCTGGAGCCTCGGGACATGGTGCCGTAGGAAAAGAAAGCACGGGGGCGACGGAATTAAGACCTGTTTGTAGACAGAGCATGCACGGGCTACTTCCAGCAGCAAGAGTGCAACTCACACTGGGAGAACTTCCGGGGTCGCCTGCCACCGCGCAGGCGCAGTTACCCTCTCTGGCCACGGGAAGCGAAAGAACCACCGGTTCCTTTTGCTCCTTAGTCATTCTAGATAATGCGCAGGCGCACTAGGAATCGTTGCTTGTGTTTCGCAGCGCATGAAATAAAGCCTTTCTCTAGCGCGGGCGTTTTCTTTCTGAACATGCGCAAAGACAGGGCTTCTTCCGTTTCCTGAGTCTCGAAAGAACCGGCGTAATTGGTGGCACAGACGTAAATCTACAGGGAGATTGTCATCACTCGCAGCACGGTTAGCTTGTGTACGTTGCAAGGAAGTGCAAATGATTAAATGCTCGAATTTAGTCTTACACGTTAAGATTGAAAAATGTGACATGCTGGCAGGAAATCCTGGGACTTGAGGTTTTTCTCTCTAAACATGCACAGGATTGCGCCTTAAAGGAACTCCCTCAAAAGAATTGTATGTCTTTTGGGGGAGCCACTAACGAGCGGAGGCCGCCCTCACTTCCTAAATCATGTCACTGAGGGGGGATTGCCACGGGGGTTTTTTTCCGTTTTTTGCATGGCTTTTGCAAGAAGGTGAAATATTCAAAGGCACAGTGGTCCCTACAGCAGTATGTACAACTGAAAGGGGAAAAACCCCTCTCCAGAATGTCTGCGGAGTGTAAGTGCAACTGCCAAGAGCAAATGGAATCTCCTCATTGCTGTGTTTGCCGATTCAAGCCCCTGCAGGTATCAGCTTGTGTTGCCTCCACCCTAGGCGTGGATGACCTGCGGGCTTCCTGGCATAGAGGAGCCGCTACTCCTATCGTGGCTCATGACAGTTTTAATCCAACGCTATTTAGAGGGCTGCAAGTTAACCACCTCATCTGCAACAAGCTTTTTCCCAGCATGTTTTCTGCTTCCTGGTTTGGGAATCACTTGCCAGAAAACACACTTGGAGAGGGAGGGGTTCATGTGTAGATAATACATGCTATAGAGGAGCATTTTTTTCTGTACTTTCTGTACACGTGTTATTTCAATACTTTGGCTATATGAGTGGGTGCAGTTCAACATTTTACCTAATTCTCCCAGTATCTGTTGCTGCATGCTATGGCATATGCTAACCAGCTGGAAGAATCTTTGGAGGGACAGAAAACACAAGAATTCACCATTGTCTAAAAGCTATACATCATAGAGAAAAAACAAAATCTCTCTTATGGAAAGAAGGGATTGTATGTTCATTATAGTTGGGATGATTGGCTGATGGGATAACATGTTCCATACATATTAATGTGTGATGGACAATACAGTCAAAAACTGCTTCCCATTGTATGCTACATATTGAATATAGAAAGGGCAGGAAGATCCTTGCCTATTGAAGAACTGATAGTGTGGAGGAGCACTTCATTTTCAACACTTGGTTTTATTTATTATTTCTGTTGAAGACACAGCCATCTTATTGGTACTTCATAAGAAGCTCTTTCCAAGAAGTTGTCATCATAGGGAATATGCCATGTGTTACCAGTAGTCTGCACAATTGTGTCGTACTCCAAGACAGGCTGTTAAAGAAAGAACGAACAGTATTTTTATACAGTGTTACAAAAATAGAAATATTGCATATCTCCTAGCTTATGTTTCCTCACTTTTCCAATATGAAACAACGACAGCATGAATACGCAAAGCAATTACTAAAGGGATAAAATTCCAGAGCAATTACTTAAGAAAAAAGCTATCAGTAAGTATTAAACTTATTCCAGACTGTTAACTCAGTCCTTTGAGGTCAATATCTGGTTCTTCATTCCTTCATTAAGATTTACTACTGCTGGAACTAAATACATATTGAACTGAATAAATGCTATACAGAATGACATAGAAACACAGAAATTGAGCAAGTCAGAAGTGGCCTCCTGGGCTATCTAGTCTGACCCCTGGCTCCAGCCAGCTCTGCTCATGACAAAATGAGCTTGAATATAACCTGTAATACCTCAAACTTTATAATTTTTTCTGGTCTGTAGCGAGAAAGCACCATCTGATGTCCACGCTGCCATTTAAAGAACAAGCGTTGAGTATGACTATCAGAGAGACAAGCTTTGTGATCACGTAACAGATCTCCAGTGACAAATCTACAGTGATTGCCCGAGTGAAGAGTCGCATAGAGCAGGAAGGGATCATCTTCAGATCTTGAACCATGAAAAAGCAAAGACAAATATCAGGGTTATAGAAATTACTCAGGCATTAATTTAAAGTTTATTCATTCCAGTTATGAAGCTAGTAAGGTCAGCTGATCTTTTTCTATCTATTTCTATAACATCCACATTTTAGGGAACCCCAATTTCTTTCTTTTTTCTTTTTTGGTATTAGAAAAGTACTTGTCTTCCAATATAATCTCATGGTATAGTAACAAAAGACAATGTACTATTTAGCTTAATTGAAATGTAGCAAATCTATCCACATCAGATATTTAAATGTTGACAATTCAAACAAGAAACAATGCCTGAGTTTGCATAACATTTATTATTATTAACATTTATTCATTTATATCCCACATTTCTCCCTTTATGGAACTCAAGGTGGCTACATATGGTTCCCAGGTGGCCTCTCCGCCAAGCTTAGACCAGCCCCAGACTTGCTTAGCTTCAACATGGTAGATGCCTTATGTACGTTCAGACCATAATCTAGGACATGGACATGATGACCCATCCTGTGTAACCTAACAACCGCAGTGGGTTGTTAGGTCATGCAAACATGGACTGCTTCCCACAGGTTGGCTTATTTTTACATAAGAAGTCACCCTAACCACCCATGGCTAGTTCTAGGGGTTAGAGAGCCCAGACAATAGATCACATCATTGGTATAGGAAAACAGTGAGTGAGCCATCTCACAAGAGTAGCAAAAAACCTTGTTGTTCTTGCCAAAGCATCGCCAGTGACAGCCACTCCAGCCACTTGATGAAGTGCCCAAATGTCTCTTTAGAGAAGCCATCCCTGGCTTGGTTTCCTCACTGCTGATTGTGACCTGTTTTGTGGTTACCATGGCTTGTTCTCCCTTCCCCATTCTGCTGAAGATTGCTTTTTGTGATCTCTGAATTGACAGTCAGTGATAGCTTCTTTAAAGGGCCCAAAGTTACTGGTTGGCCTCTCCCCCCTTTTCATTTTGTGATTTTGTACAATTATTTTCATTCTTTTTTTTTCTTTTTGTCAGATCTGCAAGTGCACAACCCCAACTCTTCCAGCCTTGACTTGTCAATGATCTGGAAGTTATCTCCTATCACAATACAGGAGGCAGCATTCATGGACATGGACAAAGCAAGGCTAAACACAGATCAATTGTTGCTTTGTTGTCAAATGGCAAGCTGTCAAAATGGTCTGGATACTTCAGCTGATACAGAACAGAGCTGCCAGGCTGCTGGGGACCGGCCATTATTCTCATATAACGCTGGTCCTCTACCAGCTACACTGGCTTCCAGTTGAAGTCCAGGTCCAATTCAAGGTGCTGGTTTTAACCTATAAAGCCCTGAATGGCTTGGAACCAGGATACCTGAAGGAGCACCTCTTCCCATACATGCCCTCATGCCCCTTAAGATCTGCCGGAGAGGATCCGCTCCAGGAACCCTCTTTAATGGAGATAAGAAGAACATCTACCTGGAGCCTTCTCTGCGATGGCGCCCAGATTATGGAACTCACTCCCTGGAGAGGTGCACCTGGCACCGAGTTTATATTCTTTTTGGCGCCAGGTTAAAACATTTTTATTTAATTGCTATTTTAAAAACTAATATTTTATTGTTGAACAGTCACTCTTTTGGTTTTGGTTTTTTTGTCTTTATGTAATCTTTTACTGAATTTGTTATTTATAAAGATCATTTTATTGTTTTTAACTGTATGTATTGTGAGCCATCACGAGATGCCAAGGCATATGGTGACAGCATACAAAAGTTTTAAGTAAGTAAGCAAGCAAGCAAGCAAGCAAGCATGTAAGTGAAGCTGTTGGAGAGCTTTTCTGTGGAAGGAGGTGGTGTGCAGATCACTCTCTTCCCAATGAGATCCTTTAGGTGATGATGGTATGGACCTGACTGTTCTCAGTGTTCTCCAACTTCAACCCCTTCCCAAGACTCTGAATGCTTGGGGAAGTGGAAAAGTACAAGCCACCCCATTTATGGGAGCACAGAATTTTGATAGCTGTCAAAACTCAGGCTTATGTTTAAAACAGATACTTTGACAGGGCCAGCCAACAGGTGGGGGTTGACATGGACCTATGCAGATTTCTGAGAAAATCAAGCAAACACTTTAAAAAATCAAACAAGACTATTTGCACAAATCTCAGGTGCAAAAGGGAAAGAAAAGGTGGTGAATCAGTGATAGCTATTCAGATGTGTTACTGAAGCACTCTGAAGGGACTATCAGATTCTGAAGATCACAAAAGGTGATCTCCTCTGCCCTGATACACACCCACACAAGCCATGGTGACCACAATAGGAAGAAAACATGGATCTTCCCATGAATCCCCTGCAATACCTACAGAATGAGTCTCATCCTCTGGTGTTCCATGAGTTGTTCCAGAAAAACTCACATTTTATAGCTTATTTACAGCTTACTGTGTTCCGTGAACATGAATGCTTAACATCTGTTGCAGCTTTCAAAGACCTAGGTCCTAGCAGCCAATATTTAAGCCTAGTTCTGTGAAAATGCAGACTCAATATGTTTCAAACTTTGAGTGCCAAACCTTAAGGCACCGAAAATTTAAGGCACCTAAGAACTAGCTTTAAAAATTCAAGTGTTCACCAGGACTGTGTCCCTCAATTTCATTGTTTTATTTCCACTACGTTGCAGTAGAAGCACATTCAATTGCATTAAACTGGCAGACCATAATTCATAGCTGCAAAAATAACAGTGTTATTTATCAATGATAACTGAAATAGGTAAAGCTATGAGAAATGTTATTTAAGTATGCCATGATATTCCAGTTGTTCTTTTATCTGCTTCTCTTTGTTCTGACAGGAATTTGTGCATGATAAAAAATGTGATTTTTCCTAACATCAATTCTGCCAGTGCTTGATCATAAATAAAAGTGAAGTTCTAGAACAAGTGAACTTCTAGAACAAGTTCTAGAACAAGAATGCCAAATGAAGATATACTGTCTTCATTTGGCATTCAATAGTTATTGCACATGGATGTGAGGAGGAAAAAGTCTGATGTGGAAATTAAATGGGTAACAAGAGGTAGTTAATCTTTCAGCCGAATGCCTGCAAAGCTCTCGTCAACTTCATTTCTGTATTACAGACAGCTCATCTAACAGTTCTGGGCAGTGCTGCTGACACCAGTTTGCTTTCTTGGATAAGAAAGCCATGCATCAAATAATTCTGCTTTGTGTTGGTAAATACCTCATCATTTGCTCAGGCCTAATGGCTGGTTGGTACACTTACTGTGTTCGAATATGATTTTGAATACAAAACAGCCAATTACTTGTTAAATATACATAAAACAAGGCTATAATACTGCACAACAAGGAAAGAACTGTATTCATTTTGCATTACCGTAGTGAAATGACTGAAAAGTGTAACAGAAAAGTTCAAAAGTAAGGAAGAGATAATGAGAGATCAGCAGTGGGGAACCTCAAGCCTGTGAGCATGGATTTCCAAGATGACCACTGTCATCCTCATTCTTCTTCCCACTGTTCATTGTTTTATGGTTTCATGGCTTTAGGATTTTTCCCGCATTCCAAAAGGTTAGAATGTTGTAGTTTGTGTCTATAAACACTTCATAATGGTATCTGGTATTTTCAGATGTATTTCTTTAGCTCTGCCCAACTCTGAGAATTCTTTCAAACTGAAATTCAGCTCTGGGCCTAAAGAAAAGATTCATTCATCATCCCTCCAGTAGATAAAGAATGTACAACTTTGTATACTTAAAATTACATCAAGTGATATAATGGCTACTTATCAAAGTGTCTTCAGCTACAATCTGTTCCTAGTGTCTCTGAATAAGCCCATTAAAGAAAAATACATACATGTCCTCAGTAAAGAAGAAGTCCGCTATCTTCTGTATAGCAGCCATATTATTTCTTTTCCATTGCTGAGTTCCGTTCAGCATATGTTTACGCCCCAGCACAAGTATCCTTGGCTTTTGCTGTGCTAAGTAGGTAACAACATCCCGTAGCTATGAGAAGCAATGAGAGAAGAATAAAATTTCAAAGCTTAGAAACATAGAAAACAGAGCGAGTCAGAAGGGGCCTCCCGGGCCATCTAGTCTGACCTCCGGCACCAGCCGGCTCCACTCACGACATGCCCACCATGTGGATGTCCAGCCTATCCTTGAACATCTGCACCGATGGGGCCTCTACTACCTCCCGGGGAAGCCCATTCCACACCCTCCGGGTCCTGACTGTCAGGAAGTGCTTCCTGGCATCCAAATGGAACCTTGGCTCCCTGAGCTTTGCTCCGTTGGAGCACGTTCTGCCTTCCTCTGCAGGGGAGAACAGGTCTCTACCCATCTCCATGTGACATCCCCTCACATACCTGTATGTCGCCAACAGCTTAGAACACTGAACACAGAAGCAAGTTTCTAATACCCTTTCTGATATTATCATTCTAATTTAATTCTAAAGAACATCCTGCAACATCTGTGAAGGACATACTTGAACCATGAAAACACTGCAAGCTTCTGCTGAAGGTAAAGATAATTTAACAAACATCAGAAGCTTGGCTGCAAAATAAGAAAACCTATGTGGGAACCTAGATACTTCTTTTTCTCTCTTAAACTACGGTTTACCCTCCACCACTCCCATAGTTTTAACTTCCCCTTTCCAATTCATTCCTATTATGATTTATCCTCAACCTCTTGGGAATAGGGAAGTAGACTGCATTGAAGTTGTAGCCTGATTAGGATTTGGAGTGTAAGAAGCTGAATTGCTGCAACAATGGGCACAAAGCCTAGGTCAGCTCAGGATCTCTTTCTGCCATGGTCAAAATGAAGTTGTCCTTGCATGAAGTGAGAGTAAACCCCAGAGCCCCCCTGAGACAGCACACAGCAATTGTGCACTGTTTCTCTAACGGGTTGCTTGAACTGTGTTCCTTCAGTCAGCAGTCTAGTCTACCAATAATTATTTGTCACAGCATTTTTATTCTGCTTTTCCTCCATGGTGTCCAAGACCATGTGTATGATTCTGCTCCTCTCCATGCAGTCACTGCAACAGCCCTGTGAAGTAAGTTAGGCTGAGTCAGTGACAGGCCTAAAGTCATCCACTGCTCTTCATGGGTAAGTGGGGATTAGAACCCAGGTCTTAGTGTTTGCCTCCATTCCTTTAACCACACCACACTGGCTGTCCAGTATGGCATAGTATGTTTGAACTGACCTCATGCAACGGAAAAGTCCTGTTCAGAGAAACCTTCCTAAGCCTTGAAGGCATTAAGCAAAAGCTTGAGTACTAATGGAAAAGAATTGCAACAACATGCATGCTTTTACAAAGCTATCTGTATTGAAAAAAATAGGAAATACTTTATGTTGCGGAAATGTTAAATACCTCCTTCTACTTGCTGCTCTTCCTGATGGTCTACTTCATCTAATTTAAGCTCTGGATATTACTGTGGTGGTCTATACATAGCTACAGGGGGATTTCCTGTCTAGTATTCCTCCCACACATAACTGCTTCTTAGAAAAGGAGCGCATGAGACAAGCCACTTTCTTTTAGTCATAAAGGAAATGGAATGTAGCTCAAATTGTTAGATTGAAGGCAAAGGTTTCTCTCTTTACAACTGCATTTATTTTCCCCCACCCCAATCAATGGTGATTATTTTCTGAAGGCAAAAATGATACGTTTAGGTGCTAATATACCACAGATTTCTTAATAAGATTGGGGGGTAATCACAGAACCATAGAGCTGGAAAGAATAATTTAGGCCATCAAGTTCAAGTTCTTGCACAGTGCAAGCAGGTCTCTGCTAAAATCTTAGAGAAAGAAAAGCAGAAAAGCCTACAGTAAAAGATAACAGTATTTCCCTGTATAGCAGCATTTCTTAATAGTCATCTGAGAATGTGTGAAAGCTTCCATCCACTTAATGGCATAATCTTCCAAGGTCTGAATCAAAGATAACTTATTGAAATGGCAGAAACTTACATGTAACGGCCATCATTTTACAAAAGCAACAAACCACAAAGTGGGAGGGGGGCAGACTTTTCAAAAGGATCATTTCTTTATATGGAAAAAAGGAAGTTCATTTTCAACTGTAAAGACCCCCTAAGATATGCCTGGAACATAAGACTGTGTGGAAAAATACAGGTGATGGCAATGAGCTCTGGCCACATGGAATATTGAAGAAGACAGAATCTAAGGGAACTTGTACAACAGGATATGCTAGCCAACAAACACATCTATAATAATAAAAGAGGTTTTGTGTTTGTCTTTCCATCTATCAGCATCAAGACCAAGAAACATGGAGAACTGACGCTTGGTATGCACACTTAAAGTGTGCAAGGGCTGTGTCTTCTGGGCTATTCTGTTCTTCAAATGCATTACTTTTAAATGTGTCCATTTGAGACTAATAGTATTATTGTCATCCACTACAGAAAGGATTTCCCAACTGGCACATAATGTTGTAGTCCATACTGCAACATTATGGGACATTAGCAGACCAGTAGGACAGAATACCTGTTACTTCCCCCGTGTGTAGCAATCCCTCCAGACAAATGAAATAGATTAAATCTTCCTTTAAGGTACTTTAGGGGTACACCATGGCAGGCTCCATAGCTTCGCTCAATGCATACCAGTGGCCACTGTGAATGTGCAGACCTCAGCAGGCAGTTACTGAGGCTTAGCATGATGTATGAACCCAAAGTAGGGTGGAACATGCAAAATTTCACAGGTCTGTACTTGTGCCTGTATAAAACAACTCAGAACTATTTACCTACTTTACAACAATATTTGTCAGGGTTAAGAAAACACCTTCAGCTGTGACAAGAGACAACCCTTGCTTGGTTTGCACATCATGATAAATTGGAGGAACTGCCCACCACAGTTTGAATATTCATAACAGCCACCAACCATGATAGACTGTGGTGATGTCTAAATAAGGCTGCTGACTGGGAGCGGTTCTCCAGGGTTTCAAACAGGAGGTTTTCCAACCCTTCCTGTGGTGCGTTGGAGAAGCCAGGAACTGATCTCAGGAACTTCTGCATGCAAAGCATGTGTTCCACCACTGAGTCACAGCCCCTTCCAGTGATGCCAGGAGAATTTCTTGGTGAATTTCTTAAAATCACTTGCCACAATATGACAGCTGTCACATGGGGTTATTCAAAACAATGCCCATGTGCTGCCCTACAGTTACCACATTCACCACAGTCTCTCAAAACCATCAGTAGTAATGACAGGAATTCTAAAATAGTTTAAGTCATATTTGCAAGCTGAGCATAAGGAAGGCCTTTGTCGGAAGGCTATCCTGACAGATGGATAGAGCATGAAACGGCTCCACCACAAACTTGAGAATTTGATTTTGGGAGCCAGTACTCCCACAGACAAAAATGAGATGTGACTCAAGGAGTCACATAGGTGAGAGAGTGCATAGTCATGTCCTATGACTGATGGAGAAACAGAAACATTCACATGATTACAACTCAGGTGCACAGATGTATCTTCTACACTCAAATGCCTGTGTAGACATAAGAAAACCACATGATTATATCACCAATTGTAATGTGAAATTAACAATCAATAAAATCTGAACTGTTTCAAGCCACTATATAAGCAAAAACAACATCCAAGAGCCTCAATTCCCAGTCATGGACTCTTCATTACTGGTTCACATAGTGTACAGTGTGTGTCATGCTTTTTTAAAGGTCACGCTTTTCATACAACAGTCTTCCTCCTCAGATCATAAAAGCATTTCTCAGATGGGAATTCCCTGGATTCCCTGAATGCTTTTGTAAGACAGCACAATGAATTATGACTCAGCTAAACAGCTATTCACCTGCTGCAGCTCAGTCAGATAAAAGGAAGTCAACTTCAGGTGGATTCACCTTTCCTGGTGAGAGAATGGCTCAAATGCTTCTGAGGTGTTCTGTCAAATAAAGGCAGAACAGTGCTTGTTTGGTGGTGGGGATTGTGCCTGTGTAAAACAACTCATAACTACCTACTTTATAACAATATTTGCAACTATATTTTGTCTGGGTTTCAGGAGGAAAATAAGCTCTGGATATGTTGTTTTCTTGTTTGCTTTTGCAAGGGGATTTAAACTTTGAGCAATTTGAGTCAGCTCAATACCACCAAAGCACAAGTACAAAAAGCACCTCTCCCAAAGAATCCATATTAGGCTATAGCAGCAAAGACAAAGAGGCCTGTGGCTCCTTATCAAAAATTTATCCCATTAATATATCTGTTAGTCTTTAAGCCTTAAGCTTCAAGATGCTAAAAGCCTTACTTTTATTATCTTGCAGTAGACAACTGGAAAGAACTGAAGTTTTAAACTGAAAGCAAAGTCAACCTGTTCTGAAGCTTAGCAGTACAGTTTTCCCATATCCCAAAACTTTATCACCATAAGCCACAGGTTTTTTCTCATCTGCAAAATTTCTGCAAATTACCCTTGCTAAACAGTGATATACATTAGCAGTAAAAAGTCAGAATCCATACAGTTATATGAATTCTATATATAAAAACTATTTTGCAGCATCTTGTGATGGGGAAACTTGTTTCTTTTGCAACATGTACAGACTCAAAATCACATACATGGGCTGTGAGCTAGTCTGGGATCCTCTTTTGGGAAACTTGTACAGCTGAGAAAATTTAGGAAGGAACTCTCCTGCATTGTCCCAATAGACACGATCTTAATGGGTTGCTGCCACTAAGCAAACTCTTTTGGGTTGCTCCTGTTTTTCAGAAGCAATTTGCAAGGAAAAGTGAATTCTTATATAGCTGCAACCCTAAGAATTGGTAACTGATCTTCATGCTTTTTAAACTCTTGTACAGGGCAACTTTCCCAAAATGTTCCTCGGCATCTAACAAACATTTTCTGTTGCTTCCTTAGCTGAATATGCAGTATTTCCTTCTAATAACTAAGTCACTATTTACATAACATTCTAACTTTTAATGTATGATGATCAGTAATAGTAATCAGAGTCAGTTCCATATACGAAAAAGAGGTTAAAATAGGAGTGTGACGTCCTCAACTA